AGCGTGTACAACTTTGAATCACCAACATGGGTTACTGCTTTAATTTTAAACAACTTACAGAATTTCACTATCAATATTCCTAAGATACTCATTCAGTTTTTGTGCATGTCTAAAGCACAAAAGACAAATGCACATAAATCTATGTGGTATTTTGGGGGGGAGGGAAAGGGAGTTCAGTAAAGCCTAGGTGACTTATTGGCAGGTTGTGTTCTGCTTTGTATAATCATAGTTCATTGCAGCTTGTTTCTATAATGAATCATCTTGTTACATAAAATGTCAGTTAATAATTGAGGGCTGTCAATGTCCTTATGACTTTGCCTTTTCTATTGTCTTACTCTTATGAAGATCTCTGCCTCTAAAGGGGTAAGAATGTGAAAAGCTTTATTTTTTTTCCAGATATCTTTTTATTTCTATTGTATTTTTTAGTTATATCATATGTGCTAGAGAATTTTTGTTATTAAACATGATCCAGAAATTTCTAGGAAGATTCTGTATGACAGGGCAAGAGAGTGCCTGAAAGCTAGAAGTCCATGGTATATGTGGACTGCTTTCTTGCATGATATCTGAGGTTTTCCCGAAGCTGTGAGAAGGTATGCTATAATATTTATTGAAGTAATTTGGACTATAAAGGACAACATTCCCAGCCTAGAATGAGGATGAGTACATTATTTTTAGATCCTGAATGTGATCCTCATTTATTAAGATCCTCATCTTAATAAAGCTATTCTATGAGGTTTGTGTAGAAAATGAGTTGCTCTTGATCAAAAACTCATCAGAGCTATAAGGATGTGTAGTTCTTATTGGAAAGTTCTCTCTAGTTGCTGTGAGAATTTAAATGTCTATTTGCCTGCCTTTGATTCTGGAGATGCTCATTAAAAGAGGACTCTGGCAGACTGGTACTGACTTTGAGGTCTTTTATCCGTGTCCTGTAGTTGGAAACTCTTCAGAAGCTGCTGGGTGTTTTATGGACCGGTATATCTCAAGAAAAAAGTTTCAGATTTTTTTTTTTTCTTCTTTTTCAAAAGAAAACTGAAAGTCTTATTTGATATAGTATGGTAGGTGCCTGAAAGTAAATAAAAGATAGTAACTTAATGAAGATTTGATAAATGATTAAATGTGATATGCACAGTGTTGAAAAAACTACTTTATCTGTTCATCTTCTCTATAGAGATGAAATTGTATATAACACATGATTACACATGCACGCAGATTTCATGCTCCATACCTCTTCCCTTTTTATTTGCCTTTTTCTAATGGTGTGCATGGAATATGCCTTATTACAGAGTTATTGTGTTAATTTGAATATGTAGAAAAGAGCCTATATGTTAATGTTAGTAAGGCAAATAAGATGAAAATTTGTACGTTTACTATATCACCATTGAACATTTTATATAGTGATGTTAAAAATTTTATCTCAAATGTACTTCTTCATTTTACAGTCAACCAAGCAATGGTTCATTCCACCATAGCCACTGATGGGAATGTAAAAAAAAAAAAAAAATAAAAAATTCTCGTTTGTCATTTCTTTTAATTGTTGAACACAGGCAAGTAACTGTTTATTAATTTAATTGGATGGCTTTATTGGCTTTATTTTACAAAGGTATGGAAAGTTTACAGAGCAGTATATAAATCATATCATTAGTTGCATTTGCACTAAATGTGATGTACTTTTGCAATTTATTCTGTAAATAAAATTAAACTACAGATACTATTTGTAAAGAATATTTTACTTTTTGATAAAGTCACTGGTACTTCACTACAGCTACCCCTGCCCAATCAGAGTTGTAAGAGGCTTCTTAAAGAATACAGAAGGAGTTGCAAGACTGAGAAATAGGTATTGACCTCTTTAAAAACAAATGAAAAAAGGCAGCTCTCCATCGGCCTCTCAGACTGTCCATGTGCAAGTAGCCATTAGGTCTTTTCTTCCAGAAGGGATCTTCCTTTTACAGCTTTATAAAATTTCCCATCTCTTGAGCCCACCCCTCTTTACAGTCCCTGCCACATGTCTGTGCACTCTGAGTTCTCTTCTTCCTGTTAATGGAACTGTAGTATTTATATAGCTGTGATCTTTGCAATAGCAGCCCATGACTCTAAAATGGCTGTTTTTATAAGCTGGACCAATTTGAAGGGCTGAGAACACAGCTATCTTCTCCATCAGATATTGTTCTCTAGATATTTGTGTCTGTCTGGAGAATTTGAATGTTGCTGAACTAGATCTGAAGGAAATGACTTGGTAGAACTTGTATTGGGAATGAGGATGAGAGATGGTCATTGTTATCCTGTCTGAGAACTTGAACATCTTATTTTGACAAATTTATCTGTGAAAAGTGTGATGCACTTTTTGGGGGGAGGGGGATAAATTACATTTTACTTAATTGGGTTGAGCTGGCTTATCTGAAGTTGTGAAGATTCTCTTTAATCAGATTGTCCACCTGTATTTTTGTCAAGTTGTACAGATAACACTGTATCTGAATTGCCACTGTCATCTACAGACTCAAAACATGAATCATATTTTTGAGTACCTTGAGTGTATAGAGTGTAACTGTTTGTTCTATAATAGTTTTATGATTCTAATGATAAGTTTTAAAAAATTAAAAGAAGTTGGCTCTTCCATGTTACAATCACAAATTTTAAACCAGTATTTAAAAAAAAAAGTATTAAAAAATTATGAAGAAAAATCCTGGTTTGTAGTTATTTTTGTCTTTCAGTGCTTTGGAGAAACTTATTTAAAACATTTTAGCTTTTAACCAACTTTTAGATCATGTATAAAGTTATATACAATACTATAATGTATGGAAAACATTTAACAGGAAAGCAGTTTGCTTGTATTACTGAGGTTATGGAGATGAAAACTTGAATGCCACATTAGTTTATATATCAAAAAGCTCATTTTGTGCTAGCATATCAGAGGCATGTTAAAAGATGTTCCTGTACAGTATAGTCTTAATATAGAGCGCTTCCAAAGTTATATTTAAGCTTTTGTCTCTGTACAGAATTAACAACATGATGGAAATTTCCATAGGAAGAATGGAGATCCAGGACTGAAGAGTGCCAGAGGATAAACTTGTTTTTTTCTAAAG